CATGTAGTGCTAAAAGGGGACACAAGCATAAAGGATGCCCACCTTATGAAGAGTTGCCTGAGTTTGTGAAAGTGTTATCAGAAAGAATGGATGATATTCACCATCAAGTGCGTTCAAACTTGAAAACGTCTGCTGATTCGATTAAGTTATCTTATGATAAGAGATCTACTGAAGTCAGCTTTTAACCAGGAGACAAGGTGTGGTTGTATAATCCCAGGAAGACCAAAGGGAAGTCTCCTAAGTTGTCTTCTCCATGGGAAGGCCCATATGATATAGTGGATCTTCTCTCAGACGTGACTTTCCGGATAAAATGTGGTCAGCGAGGTTAGCCAAAAGTGGTGCATGCCAACAGGCTTTGGAATTATCATGGTCCAGGACATTTCAATTGGGATGATGTGAACAGCAGAACAAATGATGTTGCTGAAGACGTGCCACCTGAAGAATCCACCGTCGAAGAAGAAACTCTACTCAGTTTTGAGAAGTGAAACGGCGAAGCTCTTGATGAAGTTACTACCACTGATGTGACTGTTACTGACGATGGAACATTTCCTGATGAAGCAGATGAACTCCATATGAAGCAGAAGCCAACGAGACGGAGACCAGTACGGAAGAAGATACGTCCCGTAAAATTAAGAGACTTTGTTGAATCGTAATTTTGTGTTTGTAATTCTGTACATTTAATTAAGTTATTGTTAATTGTTATTGGTTTAATGTAAGTGGCTATTGTTCGGGACGAACAGTACTAAGGAGGGGGCAGTGTTGCGTTAGCGAGGTCACGTGACTAGTATCACGCAACTTCCTTCTCGAACCTTCATGAATTGTCGGGAGATCACTAGATTGGGGTAGTCTGGTATATATAAGATGGTCACAACGTGACGGGACAATGTGTAGGTAATGAGTAATTGAACTGCAGTTAGAGAGTGTGTAATTGAACGGAGTATTGTTGAAGTCGAGCTCGTGAGACGTTTGTTACAGCGCGACTGTTGAAATTAAGTGTATCGCAAAGTTATATTCAGAAAGAATAAACCAGTTTTATTTAAGAAAGGACTTGTGTCGCTAAAGTTTCGTCGGAACGAATTTATGGAAAATTAACTAACGAACAGAGACGTAACAATATTATACTGCATCACAACTACCATAAATAATGGATTACAATGCTATTAAAATTGTAATTTACAACGGCAAACTTTTCAAGTAGCATTGATATCACGATTCACTGTGTATTTAGGAAGTCATAGTAGAATTTTCAAAGTATAACATACTTTTATTATTAGGTAGCTACGCAATGGTTTATCTGTGCTCTTCCTTTAGGTATTGAAGCCCGACTTTAGGGTTATATGCCCTCAGGCTCATCGCTGATCCAATCAAAATTAGAAATATATAGTTATGCCGTTATCATCGTATTTGGGCACGGGTTGGCCCTATGATAGAGCTTTGGATTTCGATGCTTGTGAGCCAAGTTTGAATCCCTTCCATACCACAACATATTACCCGCATTTTAAACTGTTGGTGTGTTATAAGAGTGATAGTCAATCCTTTAACATGGATGTTTCTTCCCTGTGGTCAATAATTCGAAATTAGGGACGGCAGTAGGTGGCTTTAGTAGTTTTGCCATATATACAAAATACAAATATTATTATATTTGACAGGTTACAACGGACTTCAAAATTATTACTTAAAGTAGCTTAATTTCCAAACACCAGTTTATATCCTTGAAACGCACAAAGTTTCTATTTAAAGTTACATTTTTTCCCATTTATACCTCAACAACTACCGTAAATAATGGAGCTAATAACCGTCTACAGAATTATTACGTCAATGAGCAAAATTTCCAAACCAAAATAAAATATTTTAAACTGATACATTAGGATATTTAATCCTTTGAAAAGTTTCAAAGTGGCACAAAGTCTCTGTCGAAATTTATGCATTTTAAATTAAACCGCAGCCCAAATAATGTAAATAATGCGTAAAATATACTTGAGTCACTGTGAAGGTTTTCACGAGTTCTGAATTTCCTTCGTAACTCAGCGGTAAGTCTAGGGGCTTAAAACGCTTAAATTCGAGTTTCGATACCCTCGGTCGGCAGAGCATTCCTAACCCATTTAACGACAAACAAACGTTGGATGAGTGTGTGAAATATTGTTTGAAAAGTTTACTGTTATAGTTTTGAAATCTCTTGTAACTCGTTATTTGTAATTATAATTTTATAACTTTGTACAGAAAGTTTATGTCACTAATTTCTCAGATTAGTTCCAAGTTACAATCAGAATACAAATTAGTGTTTAGAAGTTAAAATCCTGCTTTAAATGAGAATTTCGAGGTCCAATGTAATTCGGTATTTGTTGTCATTGTAGTATGAGTGACAACTGATAATTGATGTAAATAAGGGTTTACAGTGACGTATTTAGTGTTTTTTTTCTTAGAAATTGTGCTGATTTTAGTGATAAATTTGAAGTGCAATACAGGCCTTATTTACTGTATTTGACGTGCATTGTAACACCCACTATTTTCCAAGAAAACTTATGTGATATTCAGTGTTTAGGTATTTAGTTTTTGTTGTTATTTTTAGAATATTGCTTTTTTCTTTTATAAATTTTATGTTTAGTGTAGATTGTATTCATGGTATTTGAAGTGTAATGGAAAATTTATTAATTTTACTATTATTACGGTGTTTAAAGTGCAATAAAAATTGCTAATGCGTGTTAAAGGTTCTATTTAATGTGTTAACCACTGTATTTTAAGTTTCATGTTGAAAATATGGCTAATATCGTTTGTATGATCTGGTTTACCATTTTTTCTGTGACGTCATGTACATGTCTTTGAATAAGAAAGAGAAGCGATCTTCGCTTCAGTCGTTTTGACATTAGTACTTTTTGGTTTCGGAATTCTATTTGAATCTTTCGATTGCACAGAACTTAGAGCAGTATAGAAATTAGAAGTATCAGTATTTTTATGGGGTGTAACTTAATAAAGCTAATCTTAGTGGGGTAGTGGCAAAAATTGGATCGGTAGGTAGCATTCATAATATTAATAATTTCCGTTTTTTAGCTTTACGCGTTGCTATGGCGCCAAGGCTTAGGACATTTTATTAAACTTTAGTTTTAATCATTTGAAGTAATATTATTAATATTACTCTCTTTACTTAATAATAATAATTATAGCTCTAATAAGAATAATACAAATCATTTATATTTTGCCATGAAGTTATAAATAAAACAAACTTGGAATATGGTATCCCAAGTTTCTATTACTAGTATTAATAATCTTGTATTAATATTATTTATTGTTAACGCTGTAAGTGTAACTGTAGTAGTGTAAGTATAAACATAATGTAGCCCAAATATTTGGGCTTTTTAAGTTTTTAGAGATATGTCAAATTATAAAAATATTACCTAGTGTGATATTTGGGCTATGCTATAATGGTGCTGTAATGTTACACATCAGCTTTAAAAATAGGTAAAGTCATGAATTTATTGGGATAAGGTAAACATGACATGTTTTAATCTTTGGTGACTTGATATTAACTTCTTATCAGAGCAAGATATATACTTAAACGAAAAGAATATTCAACCTAGTAATGATTATAGCTAATTAAATATACTTTTTTCTATGTTCATACTTACAAAAATTAGAATGCATTGGGTACAGTTGGGTACATACATTGTTAAGAAGTTTTTAGCCATAAGGTCAAATATATCTATAATATGATATATCTATAAGGTATGTATAAAAGTAATTCAATGTAATCTGGTAACTTCACATAACACATCTGCAGGCTAAAGGAATTTCAATCTAACTTGGTAAATGCACATACCACATCAGTGGGCAAACTGTTTTGCAAGTTTAAAACAACAAAAAACAAATTTTTTGTTAGAACATGTATGCAACTAAGCTACCAAAGCCTACTGTATTACGATAAAATAATGTTTTTTGGGTAAATGTAGGCCAAAGTGAAAGTCTTAAAGAAAATTATATGAAAAACTTGCAAACAAATATACATTATATGTAGGCTTATAAAGTATTAACTTTTCAGACTGATAGATATCCCTTTGTTATTTTATTTTATGAAATTTGCAGTACATTCATACTGTTTCCTAAAATGGAGTGATTTGCTTCAGAATACTATAACATTGTAGTCATGTGATAGAGAAAGTCATCAACAGTTGTTCAGTGACAACAAAATTATATCTGTTTTTCTGTGGTAGTTTTCTATTCTCTCTCTCTATGTGTGTGTGTGTGTATGTGTATGTATATATATAATAAGCCAGTTGTCTTTTGGTGATTCCCCATTCATATGTGTTACTTAGCAACAAAACTATGACTTGATATTTTTATCTTGAGTATTTATATTATACTTTGAACATTCATGAGAGCTGGCTTGAATTTCACATTTTAAAATTGTTTTAAGTTTTAGTTGATGCATTTAATTACTTATGTAGTCATTTTGAAGTTTCTTAGTGAGTTTTAAAAGTCATCTAAGTTATAGATTAGTGATCATAATTCATATGTTTTCATTAGGTCTTCATAAAGATTTTCAGTTTTATTATTACTTTTTTGTATAAAACATCTTTTTTTCCTTATTTCTTCTTAACATATTGCCATTATTCTTAACTAGTGATGGTACTTGTAATTAATTTTTAGGTTTAAACTTTTGGGTTATCTTTTATCATAAACCTTAGTTCTATTGGTTTTGGGTGCTTTCATCTTCTTTCAGTATTTAAACTAATTTTTAGGTTATATAATGTAATTAGAAAAATACTTTCTGGTACATGTGAAATATCGATGGATTTGTGAAGTCTTCCACTTACCACAGAGCCACTTGAGTAACACAACTTTATGAAATAGATTAATTGGGTATACTTCAAGAATTTCTAATGGAATGTTATGGGTCAAGCTTTGGTTGATAAGATATGTTAGTGAGGCCTTGGACTCTTACTGTCTATAATTGTTTATTATTACCCCAGATAACTGGGGCTACATGCATGGCCTTGAGATGAAGATGTCATAACATGACAATGTCAACAACAGAATGAAGCATTAAAAATAACACAAACTCAACATCCATAGAAGCTCTTAATGAATGTTTGTTTTATGTGGAAAAAAAGTCTCTTTTGAAATGAAATTTTTGTTTTATCTTTCTCAATTCCAAATAGTAGTTAGAATTAAAATGATATTAATGAAAATGTTAGTTCCTAAAAACATGCATTTCTGTTTGTGAAAATGTCCATACTTTGTGATGACGTGAAAAGTTACAACATGAAATGGTTCAGAGGAGGGCTACTACAATGATATCTAAGAAGGAAAGGTTGGCATACAAGGAGGTTAAGATCTCTGAAATTATCTCTTGAAAAAAGAAGAGTTAAATGGGATCTGATTGAGGTGTTTAGGATTGCTAAGGAAATTTGTAATTAATGATGAGAATGGTAGAAATGTGGAACAGAAATAAAAATTTTGGCAGGGTAGGTATCATCTTCAGTTAAGACATTATCTTTTTAACTGTGTTACTTATGTTAGCCTTTGTAATTGGTTACTTTCAGATCTGGTAGATACAATAAATTTAAGGGAGATTAAGGAAAGGCTTGATAAATATTTAAATAATAAGTACTGATGTTGAGTTTCTTGTTTTTTATTAAAGTTTAGATTTGCAGATGGGATAGACTAGATGAACCAACAGGTCCCTTTTTGTTCTTAAATTATATGTTATGTTACATTTCAACACCTTTAAGTCGTATAGCTTTACTGGATAGGAAATAAATATTAATTTCCGGTCAGAGTAACCCACCTACTTAAGAGTGAAACTTAAAATCAACATTATAATGAGTATAGCTAATTAAATATTGTTTTCTTACATTCATACTTGTAAAGATTAAAATGCATTGTTTCATCAGTTTGGTACTTTCACTGTTGATGACGTTTTTTGGACATAAACCTAATAATATCTCATGAGGTTTTAGGAGCTTTAGGTTAGCCTTAAACACTTAAATTAATTGTAACAAAATATAAATGTAGAGTGAAATAAAACATTAAAAAATATGAAATAAATCTAAATTACTGGTGTTTTTTTTTTCTTTCTAGAATGACTACATATTGTAACATTATTCATTTTTAGTGCCACGTCTAGTACTTTCCACATTTAGTTTTATAGCTTTGAAGCTGCACTTAGATAGTTTCAAAGTATGCCAAAAGCTATTCACACAACTGGACAGTTTTATGTAAACAAACAAGTTACAAGTAATTCATGGTTGAATTACAATTGTGCATCGCAATGTGCATGTGCTATGATAGAGTATCATGAGAGATATTTTTATTTAATTATTTTTTTTATTTTTCGTATCTACCCTAATATGTCTTGTTTCTACATTTTAGTTACTTTTATAACAATAAATAAAGAATATACATAAAAATCAAGAAAGTTAGTCCTTACTCTTGGAAATGGACCTTTTGCCATAAGAAGATGAGGCACTGTAAGCCTTCATTTTTGTAATAATATTGATGGTCCAAAGTACCATAAATCTTTTTACTTTTCGAATATGTAGCTTAGAACACAAAACATTATGCATAACAAAAAATACATATATCATTAAACTACTATTATTCAACTGGTTTTCTAACTAAGCTATAAATAGTTAAAATATATTAGCTGGTCGAACCAAATACCATAAAGGCAAACAATGAAACTGAGGCTAAGTATTTCCAAAACTGGCACCTGAATGAACCAACATAATAAAAAATCTTGTAAAGCAGAGTCTTCTTTTTGTATTGGTTATAAATTATTCAATATTAAGTGTCAGAAATAACAAATTGGCTTCTTTTAATAGACAGGATGAGATAGGAGGGGTGTGGAATGTGGATTTGAATATCTTGTTTATATATTAGTAAAGCAAGAAGCTACAAGTTTCATTATGGATTAGCAATATCTATAGTATCAGTGTGTAATTGGTGGCAAGTTAAAAAAAGATCATATAGGGGTAGAAAGAAATTCCAAAATGGGCCATATAGAGTGAAGAAGTGTCATGTGATACTGTAAAGTGAAGTTTGAGAATTTATTTAGATATTTCCTTTTAAAATTAATGAGTTGAAACTAGCATAATATTAATATTTGAATTGTAAACTATATTTTGATGCCAAGTTACTTGTATATATATTTCTAATAATATTAATTTAATTTAATTTTGAGTGTAATTCTATGAAAAAGGTTGGGAAATGCATACTTGCTCATAGGGTTAATGTAAATAACAGTAAATAAATAATAGGGTATACCTTACTTATGGAACACGTAAACATTAGTTCTTTGCTTCAAGTACTTTTGTGTATTTAATGTTCAGTGAACAGTGTAACATCAGTATAACCATATATATAAACAGAACCTTCTACAGCCCTCCCTAAAAACATCTTGTGGCTAATAAAAACCCATTAAACAACTCCAACAGTGTAATGTTAGAGGAACATGGCAATGAAATAAACTACAATTGCTACAACATGTTACTGTTTAGGCATGGAGTCAGGTAGCAGGACATTACCAAAAGTACTAATATTTATGAAGAAACAAAATAATAAGTAAAAATTACATGAATACCTGAATTGTACAATAAATATCTAGAATGGTATATCTGTAATTAAAATATAATAATGTTAAATGTAATACAAAGAAAACAACATATTAAAAATACTGTAAGGCATATCTTATCATAACTACTCACACTTTAACCTCAGTCACTTAAAACACAAAGAACAGGCAACAGAAAGTAATAACGAAAGTTACATCCACTGTAAAAACTGAAAAGTAAATGTGATAAGCCTTGAGAAGGTTATATAATAGTAACGTAACTTGGAAAGGAAAGTTACAATTATCATAAATATGACTTAACAAAAATTAATGTAAATTAACTAGTGATGTAATGTCATACCATATACAGTACTGTTATAAAGCTAGTATCAACTATAAATAAGAAGAGCTTAAACTAATAGGATATAAAATCAGGGGTGTTCAATACACTGAAGTGATTCA